CAAGGCCTTTTGCCACCTTCTGAATTGTGGGGTTTGGCCGTTTTTTTAAAGAGCTGCACAATGTTTCTAAGCCTAATTAGGATAACACAGAGTTACGGCCTTCATTTGCTGTTTCAGTGATAGGTTTCAGTGTATAAACTCAAAGGGACTCACATTACATGATCAGTTACGTGCATACAAAGCAAGCTTCTGCATACGATACGCAGAAGAATGATCTGAAGAAAAGCTGGAATGCTCCAAACACAAATAGCACTTCTCAGGGGAAAAGACCCTTCAGAATTGTGGCATGTGTTGTTCTTGTTACATCATCATCATCATCATCATAATTGCTGGGTAGCTCAGTGGTTTAGGCATCTGGCTGTGGAGTCAGAGTTGGGAGTTCAATTCCCCACTGAGCCTCTTCAACAGTGGCTGGACTCGATGACCCATAGGGTCTCTTCCATTTCTGCAACTCTAAGATGATACTTTGGTAACATTTGGTTATACCTATGGATTCTTACACCTCTAAGTACTCATATAGCTAACCATCTAAACCAGAGGTCGTCAACCCCCCGCTCCGTGGCCTGGTGCTGGTCTGTGGCCTGAGACGGACCGGGCCGCGAAGACAGAGCTCCCCCCCACATGGATTCCTCTCCCCACAGTTGCTTTGTGCATGTGTGTGCATGCCAGCACCGGCATGAGCGCTCCCCCACAGCTTTGTGCATGCTCAGGGGCACCTGCACGCCTGCCTGCGTGCTCCCCTACCCCTTCACTCATGCAGCCGCATGAAGGGGCATTCATATGTGCTGGTGCCCCTGTGCATGCCGGTGCAGTTGGGCGCTCCCCCACCCCTTCACACATCCACCCGAGAGCGCACGCGCACCTGTGGGGGGGCCTTTCTCAGAGGCTCAGCCGGTCCACGGTCCCAAAAAAGTTGGGGGCCGCTGATCTAAACCACAGAGGGCAAATTTCATGAGCTGAGGGCCATTTTTAGATCAGCTGGCAGCAAACGTCCATGGGAGAATAGCTGAAGTAGGAAGCGTCATGGTCAATTAGGCTAATTAATATTTCATATTATTTACTTACTTCCCCAAAACAAATATGACTAAATAATGGATTTTGTTTGTTTGTTTGTTTGTTTATTTATTTATTGACTAATGAAATAATTCATGTCTTAAATAAAAGAAAAACCAGGGATTTCCAGTGCCCAAAATAGGCAGTTGTACTTGATACAGGACAAATACATTTTTTTAAAATTTTAAAAATATTTAAAATTCATAAACTTAGGCTCGTTCTCTGGAAATCAAATTCTTTCCTTTAGGCTAATTATAAAATACAGTGGTGCCCCGCTTGATGACGATAATATATTTCAGCAGAATTGCTGTTAAGCGAAATCATCGTCAAGTGAAAAAAATCCCCATTGAAATGCATTGAAAACCAGTCAGTGTTTTCGAAATGCATTGAAAACCAGTCAGTGCGTTCCAATGGAGAAATACCTCTTCGTCCAGCGAAGATTGCCCATAGAGAACCGCCATCAGCTGTTAAAAATCGCTGTAATGCGAAGCTTCCATCCAGAAACCAACCATTTTGAGAAGGGAGGGAAGCCATTTTGTGGAACCGGAAAGGAGCCATTTTGAGAAGGGAGGGAAACCATTTTGCGGAGCTGGAAAGCAGCCATTTTGAGAAGGGAGGGAAGCCATTTTGCGGAACCAGAAAAAACAGGCTCCTAATCAACGTAAAGTAGATTTCCCCCATTATCGCGATCGCAAAAATGTCATCGTCAAGCGATTTTGACGTCATGCGGGGTAAGCGTCTAGTGGGGCATCACTGTAACTAGTTTTAAATTTATTTCTGTCCGTATTAATACTGTCAGTTGAAAAAGCCCCTCTTGTCCTATAGTAGCCCAAATAAATTCTTTAAAATTTAGTTTTTAATTTAATTTTGTTTTTCAGAGGATTGGGAGTGCTGGGGCAGGGGGAATACTGAAACATGACAGAATCCCATCCTTCACTTACTAGAGGGCACAAAAGGACTTCATAAGCAATCTTTTAACTTTAAAAAAAACCTGGGTTGTTGGAAAGTTGGGAGCTATTTTTGAGATATAGGGTCTAAATGCACTGTATGGGCTGCTCTTTTCCAACCTCCAGTATAAACATTTACTGTTGCCAGCACTGAGATGTAAGTGTTGTTTCTTATAGGAGCAGAAATCTTTTGTAAAGCTTTTGCTTCTCTCAGATCCATCTATAAGGACACCTAAAAATCCTCTTCATATTTTTCCAGTGTTAGTGCAAGTAAGAACACTTGGCTACATTCATAGTTCAGACAATACAGTACTTATTTTCATTACATGATTCTGAAATGATACCCACATTTATGTGTATGTGTGGGAAATGATTGGATTTTCTTCTGTGCTTGAGAGTTAAAACGTTGTACAAAATGTAGTGGCCAAAATCCTGTTGCTTATGTAGTAAATTGCCTTAGAGTAGGCCCACTGAATCAGTGGAGATTTAGTAAGTCAGCTCCTCTGTATGTTCCACTGATTCAAATGAGCCTACTTGAACTATGACTTACTATGCTAAAATTAGTCAAAGAAGGCCCATTTTTATCAATGGAACTTAAAGAGGAGTAGACTCAGTTAATCCCCATTGAGTCTATTCTAGTGTGATTTACTATGCTAAACAGCAGGATTTGAGCCAATATCATGACAAGCATAATATTTTGGCTTTGAAACTGTCATCTGACAATGATTTTCTTCTAAGCGCACTGTGATCAGATGATAGTCACACACTTCCTGGTTTTATATTACAAACTTTTTATATATTTTTGTTTTTAGAAAAAGAGCCAGTTTGTTTCTAAACTCATGGTCATAGTGATACAGATTAAATAAATGTCATTGTTAGCAGTGAAGATAAGAGGTTAATGTAGAGATTAATTCTCTCTTTTGGGTGTAAATGGTTTTTAATTTTTAGAAACTTCATTTTGTTAACTTTTTTCATATTGCTGGTACTAAGATAATAGCTTGATATGTAACAGAGAAGGGAAGGAAATGGGATGTGATTGTGGGTGTTTTGATGCAGGGTTTTCTGAAGCCTGTAAAACTATTTGGTCTTTAGCAAATAAGTCCTACTGAATTGTGATTCCATTCTGTGCTGCTTTGATTGTTCAAGCCATGTTCCAAGGGCGTGGAATTGAATGCAAACCATTATTCATATGAGATAAAATTCTAACCACTGCTCATCATGGATTCTTCAGAGTGTTAATCAACATCAGTATTGATTTGGGGTGCTGTTGGAAACAGGGATCCCAGAAAATCTTCTGGATTCAAATCCCATTGCTCGTTGTAAAAATGATTTTGTACAAGAGAATGCCTTTTGAAATGTAATCTTGAGAGATAAAGGCATATTCTGTTTCAGCCTGAAAGCACAGAAAGAATTGCAGGACTGCAGATGATTTAATGGTTGTCTATGCAAACAGATTGCTTTTGCACAATCCCTTGTCCCATGGTATCTGCCAAAGTAAGCAAGGGAAGTCGTGGGAGCTAAAAATGCTTTCAAAAATTTCCAACCTTGGAAAGTTGTCCTTTGCTATTTAACGTTCTCTTTAAAAATATTTCTAAACATACGAGCAAGCTAATTAATGTAATTTGGGGGTTTAGTTTGGATTACAGCCCTTTTCTTCCTGTTAGAAGCACAGTACACAAGTGGTCTTCTACCACTTCATGCCCCGGAGAAATTGACAGAGCACTGGTACCAATTAAACAGCAGTTCAAAGACTAACAAGAACTCACTGCCATTGCCCTTGTGAATATCTAGGTCTCCAGTTATGCTATTTTGTCATGCCTGGTACATCTGAGGCCTCTGCTCCCTCAGGGGAAATAAACTGGTTTCAGCACTCAGTTCATTCAACACAGCAGAATTCATGAGCACTGAATTTCAGATATCGTTTGCATTGAGGAAATAGCAAAACATCACTTTATTTTTTCCAAGATGTCACTTTACTTCTCAGGCTTCTGTGGTTTATCTAAAAGTTAATTTCACGTTTTCTTCCGGCTTTTGAAACAGAGAATTCAATTTATGGAGAGAAATTACTATGTATATTTTAATACATCAGAAATCAAGCCCATTGTTGGGCAGCTGCCTTAGATGGCAGAATTTGGATTCTGTGAGATAAGTAACTGGTTAACTGCTGGATATAATATATTCTTAGTGTTGTGAGTGTAGACACGCCTGGACTAAGCTACCTGTGACACTAAAATGTTTTTGTGTCAAACTTGTCTGTTGCCTCAGTCCTGCTACAATTGCTTGAAAGGGGTTTGAAAACATTTAAAAATTTTCCCCAAGGATTGCTTATGAACATATTGCTGCCTATTCAAATTAAGTTGTATTTCGTGTTTTATGTTTTTGTAATTTAATTCTGGTATTTAAAACAAAATTAGTTTCAGCCTCACTTGTATGTGAGGTATTAAAATATTTAATTTTTAATTAAATCAGTATATTTAACCACTGTATCTTCAGTCATTCAATAGCAGTACACAGAAAAGTATAATAAGGAAGTCTGAAAATACCATAATAAAATTGCAGTGACAAAAGAAGAAAACCTGTCCCCCAGCATGAAAGTCTGAAGATGATCAAACCACTGAAAGCACTAAAAGCTTAACACCTACCTTTAAAAGCCAATTAAAAACATGGATGTATATTCAGCCCTTCCCTCCAGGCAATTCTTGGTTTTTCTTTTTATTCTTTCTTTATTTCTTACTCTATTTTTGTATTGTAATTTACTATTGGATGACTTATGTGTTATATTATTGCTTTTATGTTATATTGGAAGCTGCCTAGAGTGGTCCTATAGACCAGATGGGTGGGATACAAATCAAATCAAATCAAATCAAATCTAAATAAAATAAAATAAAAGAAAAGAAAATAAAATAAAATAAATAAATAAATAAATAAATAAATAAATAAATAAATAAATAAATAAATTCCAGCATCTGTTTTTCCAAAAGATGTGATAAAGATGTGAAAACAAATATAAAGCTTGGTACTTTAATCAAAAATTCGATATATGTACACTACACAGTTAGACGTCTTTGATGGAACTCTCTCGCACCGAATCTTTTCCTTTGCCAAAGTATAAATCCCAGGATCCCATAGGATATTGCAAGGCAGTTGAAGTGGTGTCAAACCACTACTGTTTTTCCAAAAGATGTGATAAAGATGTGAAAACAAATATAAAGCTTGGTACTTTAATCAAAAATTCGATATATGTACACTACACAGTTAGACGTCTTTGATGGAACTCTCTCGCACCGAATCTTTTCCTTTGCCAAAGTATAAATCCCAGGATCCCATAGGATATTGCAAGGCAGTTGAAGTGGTGTCAAACCACTAGAACTAATTAATGTGGATACAATAATTGTATTACAGCTGCTTCAATGTGGTTTTGTGTATGATGGGTTGTAGGAAGTTTTTCATATTTCTATAGCAAGCAAAACAGTGGCCGAGATCCTGTTGTGCAGCTTCACGCTATACATTTCAGATGACATAGTCAACCATGGCCATTTGGAGAGAGTTACAAATTTCCTATCTTTCCCCATCCCAGTTCTGGGGATCCCTTTCATCCTAGAGAAACCTTGGGGAACTGTAGAATTTGTAGGGGAGGACTCTTTAAAGCCCAAAAATTTCCACAGTGAGTCCTGGTCACAATAGGATTCTGGCTATTACATTTGACTATTTAACTATACTGTACAGTATATAAAAATGTGCCTTAATGCTATTTCATGAGGAAGGCCTAGGGTGAAATAGCAGGTTAGCTGAGTACCTCTGAGGGTATTTTGTTGGCCAAATGAAATATTTGAATATGGGCTGTTGAGTCTAAACACTGTGCTTGTTTTTATTGCCTACAGTTTTACTTGTACAGTATAGGGATACAAGGTGTGAATTTCCATCTCTCATATATCTGTTTTCTCCTCTGCCCCCGCAGGCCAACCTCTGTTTTGTGGATATCGATAACCACTTTATAGAGTTGCCAGAGGAACTTCCTCAGTTTCCCAACAGACTGGATTTCATCCAAGAAATCTCTGAAGTCCTCCTCCAGTTTGGAATTCCCCTCGAGGGTACCCTCCATGGCAGTGAGAGCGCCACCAAGTTGAAAAACCTGGTCCTCAATGACTTGGCCAATGATAAAAAGAATGGGAACATACCGAGCAACACCATCAACATGTATGAGCTCCTAAAAGGCAACGAAACCATTGCCCGCCTTCATGCTTTGGCAAAGAGGACAGGGGTTGCAGTGGATAAAATGAACATTACCGCTCCTCTGGCAGAAAAGGAAAAAGATGCTAAACTCCAGTGTGAAGATGGGGAGCTGAGGGACTACAAACTCAACGTGCAGCTTCGGGAGGTCTTTGCTAACCGCTTCACGCAGATGTTTTCTGATTATGAGGCATTTGTCATCCAAGCAGCGCAAGACAGGGAATCGTGGCTGACAAACAGGGAACAGATGCAAAATTTTGACAAAGTAAAAGCAGCCAGTTTTTTCTCTCTTCTAAGCTAATTCAACTTCCTTATATTTTACAGCTTTATATCTCAGGGATATGCTCTTTCCTGTGTATGTGAAAGATTCCAGGTTTAATCTTTGGCATCTGTTAGTCATATGGGCGCCATCTAGATAACTCAGCAAATTATGTATCTAGCTGCAGAGTCAGAGGTTGGGACTGCAATTCTCCACTGTGGTAGGCAGGCAGGCAGGCAGGTAAGGTAGGTAGTTCCTCCCTCCCTCCCTCCTTCCTTCCTTCCTTCCTTCCTTCCTTCCTTCCTTCCTTCCTTCCTTCCTTCCTTCCTTCCTTCCTTCCTTCCAAATGTGCTACCTACAAGAAGAGCCAGCCTGTGTAGCCTTGGGCAAGCTGCACCATCCCATGGCATCCCCTAAGGAAGGGAACAGTAAACCAATTCTGAGTACTCCTGACCTAGAAAATCCTGAAAAAGATCATTGTAAGTCAGAACTGACTTGATGGCATGCCATTATTAGTAGTAATAGAGACGACAGAGCTCACTTTTTATTTGAAGAGGTGGTAATAATAAAAAATCCTGGCTTCAAATTATGTATGGTAGAGAATTTGTTTTTAGTTTTCACTTCAAGGTGAACTCACTTAATTTTGCACTTTCTAACCAATACTGTACCTGAAAAAACTAAGATATTGCAGCAAAAATTGCACTTCTCTAAATTTTTAATGGAATTTTATACAAAATATTACATTAGGGCACAGTGCCCATACAAAATGTGGATACTAGTGAAAATAATATGCAGAAATAGGTAATGATAGTTGCTTGCAAAATTATATATATATAATCTGCACATTACTTGTATTAAGATAAAGTGGACAAAATATGTCTGCATATAGATTTTATTTTTATTTTATCTTTGGATTATCAACATTAAGGGCCAATCATACAAAAAAGAATAGTATACAGTACTTGAGATCCATTTTGGTTTTGTCCTGGGCCTGCTGACTAACTGTAAATACATTGAGGGGAAAATATATCTGTTACAAATTGAAACTGAAAGGAGATGGGGGGGGGAGAAGGATGATGAAACACTGTTGTGGAAGCTTGTCAATCAAACAAATCCAAACTAGAATTGATGTTGTTGGTTAGTATTGGCAGTAGTATTGGATATCAGTAGTATTGGCACAGGAATTGTTGACCTTTCAGAAAACATATTTCTGAACTAATTCTTTGGTCTGTTGAAGGCTATCCTTTTTGTCATTGAGGTATCTGTCCTTAAAAGATAGGTCCATCAAGCCCTTTGAGGAGAAAAGTTGGTTATATATTGCTCTTTTTTATTAGTCTTTGTATGATATTGTACTCTGCATGTATTCTGTGAAAGTATAATTACAACAAAATTGGCTAGCCAATGAAATGATACAATGGCTTTTATTTATCTTTTTCTAGGCTTCATTTCTCTCTGACCAACCTGAGCCTTACCTTCCATTCCTCTCACATTTCATTGAAACCCAAATGTTTGCCACGTTCATCGACAATAAAATTATGTCCCAGTGGGAAGAAAAAGACCCATTTCTGCGAGTGTTTGACTCTCGGATTGAGAAGATGAGACTGTATAATGTCAGGGCTCCTGCATTAAGAACATCTACGTATCAGAAGTGCAACACCTTGAAAGAAGCAGGTATGGATGATTGGTGGGAAAAAAATTAAAAGAAATTACTTGATCACTGTCTTTTACTCCATTTGAGTTATGGTTCCTGATATTTATTTGCTTTAATTTTCATTCTGTTTTTGAGTCTTTGATACAATGTACATTTTTATTACAATATAATAAAACATGGAAGGGCAATACAAAAATGGATGAAATAGATTGCGTTAATACGGTATCTCACAAAATCAGCGGTACGTTTGACATTAGAAATCTAACTCGGCAGCTAAGCTAAAAGGCTCCTGAAATTAAAAAAAGCTTAAGGAGATTCAAAGGATAACATAAAACAAGTCTTGTAACCTTCCTTGTGGTGTTTAGAGCTGCCATCTATGACATAGCCTTTGTTCTTGGTGTCAGAAGTTGGGGGAAGGATCATTTTGTTGTTGGCATTGTTAAACAATATAGAGTCAGAAATTTGTGCTCATCTACAGTATTGTGAAATCACCCAGACATTAATCAGTAGGTCCAGATCTTCATTATGCTCTTGATTTTGAGTACATTAAAATAGCTCAGACACAAAGTCAGCAGGCCATACCCTGGGGAACTTTGGCTTCAACAGATGAATCTATCAGAGCTTTAAATACTGTGGTACATTCAGGTACATTCTCAGACCATTCCCTGGACTGAGTGAGAACTTGTTTGCCCTCACTTGGCCATCGCTGAAGCCAAACACCAGATTAAAGAAAGAGGGTGTGCAGCTTGATGTGTTATTAACTGGACCTGCAGATACCAAGTAAGCTTTTCCAAATGTAATAATATTGTGAAGAGGGTATGCAGCTCGATGTGTTATTAACTGGACCTGCAGTAAGCTTTTCCAAATGTAATAATATTGTGAATACTGTATGTGCATCGGTTGGTCCCCTATGGGGAGAAAGGTAGAGTATGGATAATTTAAATAATTTAAATTATGACATTGTTTTCTCAGTAGTGGAAACAGAAGTAGTCACAGGCATGCAACTACCAGATGTTTGGCTGACCAGCTTAGGGATCATAACTATAATTAGTTGGTGTTTTAGCTGTTTATTAATTTTAATCCACATAGGGTCTTTAAGTCATAAGAGGAAGGCAAAAATTTAATAAATATGGAGTATAATCATCTTCACATGGGAGTCACTTATCTGGGAGCATGCCCCAGTTAACTTAGTGGGACTTAACTTCTGCATAGACATGAGTGAGATGTATAGGATTGCACTCATGTTGATGTGTTTTTTTTGTGTGTTGCGGTGCAGTATCTTTTTGTGACTAATGTGTTTGGAATTCCACTTCTTAATAATTTGAAACAGTCTGACCCCTCATAAGGCTTTCACAAAGCAAACTGTTCTCACTATAGGAGTAAAGACATATAAGTATATGGACAGTAAAGTAATCTCTGTGACGCATGGAGGTCCCTGTGGGCTTAGCTGTGCAGTTTGATTATTTATTCTGTGGACAGTTCACTGGTGTCACCAAACATGTTTCTTTCAGGTAGCTATATAGAACTTTCCTGGAGTGGGGGAATCCCCAAGTTTGTTATTCATTTGCTTCTCATTTAGAAATGAAATAGAGGAGGTTTTTTTTTAAAGACATTAATTTGTGTTTCAAGCTATTTCACTTTCCAGACCCGTTTTCTTTCCAAAGACTAGTTTTGTTTGATATTGTGGTACCAGAACTCTTGTATCTCTGTTTTGAAAGGCAGTGTGTGAGTTGATTGCAATAACAAGCTTCTTTTTGTTTTCTCATTCCCACAAATGTGAATCCAGCACCAAATGTTTGTTTAATGAACATCTCTTTTATACATAGAGACATGTAACTTTGCATTTCTTTACTTTTGGTGTTTTTCTGCAATTGTGCACCAAGTTGTTTGGTGTAATCCAAGTTTTGTAATGGTGTCATGTTCTGCGATGTGCTCCTTCTCCTATGGATTTACAGTGGACCCTCTACTTAAGGAATTAATCCGTATTGGAACGGTGGCTGTAAGTCGAAAAGTCTGTAGGTCGAGGCTCCATTGACCTACAGTGCATTGAAAACCGATTAATTCCACAACTGGCAGTTTTTATTCTATTTTTGTTCCATTTTGTTTTTTTTCTGGTCTGTAGGTCGATTCTCCGGCTGCAAGTCGAATCTAAATTTTGCAGCCAGAGAAGTCTGTAACTCGAAAAGTCTGTAAGTCGAGCCGTCTGTAAGTCGAGGGTCCACTGTAGCTGAGACTTTGATTGACCTACAGTGGACCCTTGACTTACAGACGGCTTGACTTCCAGACTTTTTGAGTTACAGACTTCTCTGGCCGCAAAATTTAGGTTTGACTTGCAGACTGAGATTTGACTTACAGACCAGAAAAGAACCAAAATGGAACAAAAACAGCCTGTTACGGGATTAATCGGTTTCCAATGCACGGTAGGTCAATGGAGACTTGACTTAAAGACTTTTTGACTTGAGAACCGCCTTCCAATACGGATTAAGTTCTCAAGTCAAGACCCCGTGGTTTGGAATGTTTTCCTGGTGCTTCTGTCTTCTGGAACCTCACCTGTTGCTTTATTCTTCTGGAATCTTCAGACTCTAGGTCTGGAGGCCAAGAGGAATACTGTGTACCAGTGCTATCAGACAGGATTTCATTAAAGAAGACTGCCCCTACTACTCCTTTTAAAAAAGTGTAATTTCTCCTGTGCAATGGCTAAACATGCACAAAAATCACAGAACTGACCTGCAGTCCTTTTCTTATTGATTACCTGACCCACAATTCTCCAGCCTCTAAAATTCACTTGTCTGCCTTCTTCCTACTTGCTTTCCTATTCACCTATGTGTCCCCACCTTCTTATTAAATTCCACATTTCCAGTTGATGGCTTTCACAGATACCTACTTTTCATCTTACTTTGTAAACTATCCACCTTATTTTATACCTTTCTTGAAGTCTCTCCCTTCTAAAGACAATGTCCCATCCATTGATGGCCATTATTTTTGGCTCACTGTTGTAGAGAGTGAGACAGGAATTCTCCAGGGGAGCAGGTTCTAAATGTAAATTCTTGCTGTAGAAGAATCATTCTTTGGTTGAAGTGGCTAAAAGTTGTGCTTTTTTATACACTGTTTACTGTTTTCAGCTCAGGCTATTGAACAGCGTCTGATGAAGATAGATCACACTGCAATTCATCCACACTTGCTTGATATGAAGATAGGGCAAGGCAAATATGAGCATGGCTTCTTTCCCAAACTCCAGTCAGATGTGTTATCAACTGGGCCTGCTAATAACAAGTAAGCTTTAACAAATGTAATAATATTGTGAATATGTGTCTCAGTAGGTCCCCTTTGGGGAGAAAAGTGGCAAATTATCACATTGCTTTGTCAGTAGCAGAAAGAGACCTGGAAAAGTTGCTGAATTGCTCTATAGTTCCCAGAATCCACCATCATTGTAATGTACCTTCTGTGAATCAGATGTGAAGACTTGAATAATGCAGCATGTGGCCCAATAGAGATCGTTTGGGGTGCATGCACCATTTGTAGTCCTCTGTATTCCCTGGACATTGGATTTCAACCTTGCCTGCAGAATTCTTATTTTGCATCTATAGGTGCACTGTGGTAATTCCACCTCCACCCCCCATTGTTGGACATGTTAAGATTTGGTTTTTTCATTAAAAGTTTTTGATCTTACTGTTTTCTGTTAGTAAAAGAAATTCCAGTAAAGCAGGAGCAAACATCTTAATTTGGTTTCTTCAATTGATTTAAACTATAGTAGTTGTTAAATTGGAGCAAATCAGACATGTGTGCTGCAAAATCAAAATGATTAAATAAGCTCCCTAATACACTAATCTCTACTGATTATCCTGTAATTCTTTGTAATTACTTACAAAGGAACATAATGCAGTGTGTATATTGGAGGTTGCTAGAGCAATTTGGAAGTAGAAGATATGATCTTATGAAACACTAATATGGTTTGTATCTATTCTTCTGCTGCTGATTAAAAGAATTAAACAAGTGTTTCCATGCTTGTGTAACTCTTGTAGACAAGCAGGGGTGACCTGCCTTCAAGAAGAACCTTTAGCCCTCCAGATTTTATGGATTATAATTCCCATAATCCTTTATAAGTGGCCTTGCTCGATCATTGGATGGGAGTAGTAGGCCAAAATATCTGGAGGGCCAAGGTTCCTCATCCCAGACTTAAAAAATAATCTTCTGCAAATGGCTTGGTTAGAAATGTCATCATCTGGAATTTTCCCCAGTGATAGCAGCTGACCTTTGGAAATGAAGTACTGTATTAATAACCTATGTCCACTTCTGCATGTTGGAACCCTAGCCTTTAAAGAGCCATTTTCTCCTATCATGGAGATGTAATCCATTATCTCTCTGAGTCCAAAAACCCACTTACAGAAAGTGAATTTAAAACAAAATTAAATGAAAAGTCTGTATACAATCTTGGAACTCCAGCAGGTGAAATTGGTGGCCATGGTAGGTGATGGATTCTGGGAATTCTAGTCCAAAAATAACTTTTGCAAGCTGTGGGATTTCCTACCTATCTTAGCAAGAGTGAGAAGAGGGAACAAAAGACAGGGAGAGCTACCTCTCTTTCTTAAAGGAAGCAAAATGATCCCCTGATGAGGCTTTGATATTCTTGATTGTCAAGCCTGGTAGCGGGGGGCTTCCTTAGCTCCTTCAGATGTCTGTAACCACTTCAGAGCTCTAGTGTTGCTAACATTGATGAAGAATATTAAACTTTAACAAGTTGCTGTCTTTAGCTTTGGGGAGTTTGTTTCAGTACAGATGCTCACCAGAAAGGCTTTTAGGCAAGCTGAGAGTTAGTGTAGCCCAGTGGGTATAAGGGCTGAATTTGGGCCTTTGAGCTTGGTTGCTCTTGAAAGAGAGTTTGAGAACATAACCTGTTTTTACATCTTTGCCCTATGAGACTCTAGTTCATCTAACTGGGATGCTGCATACTGTAAATGGAAAACAATTGAATAATCCACTCACTCTGTTGTAGCATGCCCAGTTAAGATTAATGGGTGCTGTGCAGAATCTTAATGTTTTGGCTAAAATGCATTGCATACTGCCCTATTTACAGTTAAGCCTTCTTTTTTAAAAAATGTTCATCATTTATTTTAAAAATTTAATAGTCTGAATTGTATTTCTTATTGGGCCTCAGGAGTGGCTTAGAGTATGGATAGAGTGATGGACTAGGGCTCAAGAGAGCTGGGTTTAGTTCCCCAGCTCTGCCATGGAAGCTCACTAAGGGAGTGGCACTGGTAAAACCCCTCCTTCAATGCCGCACTTGCCTTGACCCACCCTGTGAGGGTTGCTATAATGCACTTCTGTCTTGACTTGGTATAACAACAACAGTTAGTGTACAGTTTTTAAAACAGAATAGTTTGAAACAAAGAATGAAAGAAAAAACTCGAAGACAAGAGTATAGAAATTAGCGAAGGCATTTTGTGGGAACATGAAAATCACCTCCAAGACAGGAGATCTGTCCCCCGTCAAGCATCTTTCCCTACTCAGAGCTACATACCGCATTGTATGAGAAAGAAAAAAAGCCATGTGGTGCTTGTACAGTATTCAGAATCAATAATAGTTTCCAATTTATTGAAAAACACTAATATTTTGAGTCCAACAGTGCTGTTTTGTTCATTATGGAAAATGCCCATCAGAACCTCTCAGGGAACAATATGCAGCCAGTGCAGGGAGGTCTGCATCGCTCAAGCAGGATTGGTCCACCTGAGGACTGCATCCTCCTCTAACCACTAGGCGATAGCTTTAATTTGGCTCCAACTGACATTTTCTGGCTAGGTTGCCAACAAGATGTAATTCCCAACTCTTTAGACACAGAGAATGTTTTGTTTCTGTATGCCCTTTTTCCCACTTGAACAATCTATATACTTCCAGGCGAGGTAATGATTTGTTGATTTACTACCCCTTGTTTAGAGAGAAAGACTACTCATCCTACCTTGCCTGAAGCAAAACCTGATACCTGTATCTGACACAACAAGTTTCCACTTGGGATGTTATTTTAACTCATGTTCTGATACTGTAAGACATGATCAAGATGATTCTTAGACTTTTATGTTCCTTCTCTGACCCCATCAAAATTGACCATGATTGGCAATATAAACGGTCCTGATGGACTTGAAACTCACCAGTTTTTAATATTTGACTGTTCCAGTAAAGGTATTACAAACGTTTGTTCTGGGATACTTAATGCCCTGCGTAATAGATCTCCCCAGCCTCAAAGCCCAGTTCTCAAAAACACACCGCCTTCCATGAGGTCCCACCTAATTGTGTGGTTTGGAATGTGTCATTTTTGGTTACTTGATAGAGATGCCAGCCTTGTATGTTTATGTATTAAATTGTAAAAAAATGAGACAAATACATGTATTTCTTAATGAAATTATGATATCGTACAACATCTCTACCTTCTTTCCTTTCTGTCAACAACCTTAGTCGATGGGTGAGTCGTAGCGCTACAGCACAGCGCAGAAAAGATCGCATCCGGCAACATTCGGAGCACATTGGTTTGGACAATGACTTGAGAGAGGTACTTGCTGATGTTAATAAGCCGGTAGATTTGGGTACCCTGTTCTAGAAAAAAATAATGGAATTTTTCAGAAATTTTACATCTCTATTCACAAACACACACAAGTGCATACACTCATGCCTATTCATTAGCTGACTCCCATACATGGTCATATATATCCTGCCCCTGGCATACCCTGGAAAAATGAAAATTACTTCTGAAGTTTCTCCTCCATAATATGTCGTAGTCATGTAGTGCACATTTTGCATCCACATTCCTCACTATTATCTGCTCATAGTAGGCAACACATGGCAAGACAGCATGAGAATGTAGAGCAAATTTCTATGTATGAGTGAAAGGTAGCAGCCCAATCTTACACGCAACTTAACCATTCTGTCTTAGAGCCCCAAATCACCATTCAGTTTGCCTGTTGGTAGTGTATCTTCTTGAGAGATCTCGTTTTGCCACTTACACCTCCAGTGCTTCCTCTGTATTGAGGTGGGGGCCAGGGGCTGAGGCCTCCACTGAGTGATGAGGTGAGAAGGTGGCCTCGGGGTTGCAGGTTGAGAGCATCCCTTTTGTACCTCTTCCCTGTGGGAAGCATACCTGTGCCAGGACCCTTGTCCAGGGGTCCTCTATAGGAGTGTAGTCCACCATACCCTCCACACTGAAGATGGGGTCCAGCTCCTCTGGAGTGCCACACCACACCTCTTCCTCCTCCAATTCCATGGACTCCCAGTGTACCGGTCTCTGTCTCCTCTTCAGATTCCAGCTCCACCCCTTTCCAAGCCCCCCCTCTGCCAAATCCTGTCCCTTGATCCCCCTCAGCTGCCTGCTAGCCCCAGCCCCCATCTCCTCACCTAGCTGGGCCCTGTAGATCACCTCCTACTTTCCACCCTGAGCCTGCCGCCTCATGTCTGCGTCCACCTGAGGCTTGGCCCTTGTCCTGTCTTATGGGCTCTCCAGGGGATGCGGGGTGAAGGCAGATGACCTGCTTGAGGCACCCATAGTGGGTCATCGGGCTTCCTTCTTTTGCCTTTATAGGAGGCAGAGCAAAACAGTTTGGTTGGCAGCAGAGTTAGAGGTATCGTGACAGAAAAGCAAATGAATAGCAATTTGATATATACTGATTGCAATATTGATGACCGTGAGGGAGCGAAATGCTTGTGAGAGTTTTCTCTTTCAGGTGCCAAAATAGCTCACCTAACTAGCAATATTGCAGGCACCCTTTTCTTGGCATGTGGAATTGGGTGAGCTGTGTTAGTCTGATGGAGCAAAAACGGAAAATAGAATTGTGGTACCTGAAAAACAAATATGTTTTATTTGACATAAGCTTTGGACAGCAGCCCAGTTTATCAGATGCAAGTAGACTGCAGTCCACAAAAGCTTATGTCATATAAAGCTTGTTTGCCTTTCAGCTGTCACAAGACACTGTGTTCTACTCATGTGGAACGTGAACTCCCATTTTGCCTTGTCAGCAGCCTGTCCTCCTCATGAACTGAGGGCATTACATTTAGTTCAGTTTTAGAAGTGTTCGCTTTAACACCCTTATTTTAAGCTGTTTCCCTTAGCTCTCTTTGCCTGACAACAAGTGTCTGGAGAAAGTTTGTCTTGTTTGAAAGACTTTAGAGATGAAGAAAGGTATTGCCCAACTTTGGACTTTGTTTCTAAGACTGTGTGTTGTAAATGCCCCTGGACTCTAAGAGAAGAAGGTGTGTGGGGGGGGTGACAGACACAATTTACTGCTGTACTTCAGCCAACAAAATTTATTGGGCAAGCCTTGGTGCGTGTGTTGTGAGAGAAAGAAAGGTAGAAATGGTGGGAGAGAAAGGTTACTTAGCCTTTTAATAGGGGAAGTGCTATCGTTAGATCTGTGCCTGAAATGTTTAAGATTCTTGCATCCGTTATTAAAACTTCATCTTGTCCATGCCTTGTCATCATAATCATCATCTCTCTTCTTTGAAAACAGAACAAAACACCTAACTCTTCAGCATGACTAAAGATTGTGCTTTTTTTCTCATGATATTTCCCTTTTACCAAGGAAAAGCTTTCTTATGCTGTTTTGCTTCTGTGTCATTAATGAACTCAGCATACATTGCATGCTGCAGCATGTTAGGGGAGGGTGGAAACTTTGCATTTCATAGGTGCAACTGTGGAGGCCTGTGCCACTAAAAGCGAAGCAGCATTTGTGGACATGAACTGTGGTTAAACATGACAGCTCAAATCAAAGTCTTTTGCTGTTGTATTTCTCTTTCTTCCATGCCTTTTTAGTCTGTTGCTATTGCCGCTGAATTTATTCTTTGTTTTCCTTTCTCTTTTTACTTTTATCCTTATGCATGCTTATTTCGCCTTCTTTTTCCTCCATCTGCTGTTTCTGCCATTGACTGTGTCTGCCTCCTCTTAGCCATCGGCGGAGTTCTTGATTCGTCAGAACTCAATGGCATTCTGGGAGTGGGATCAGGGCCCACCCCCTCCTACACGGCCACCTAAAAAATCATTCTCTGAATGTTGCCTGGTATGTGTTCTTTAATTTTGCCAAGAGCTGCCTGCCTTTCCCATCACACTAATCACTGCTTTTTTAGGGGTAGGTTTTTATGCACATTTCATTCATAAAGTGTGATTCTAGTTAGCTGAGTTATTCCCACAGTGGTATAGGTTCCACACCTTGTGGTCTGTTTCTAGATGTGAAGCCCACAAGAAAAACTCACATTCAAATATTCATCTTCTATAATATTGCTGGGCAGGCAAAAATTGAAGATGTAAGGCAATCAGGTGGCAATCAGGCCAGCTCTACCTGTAACCTCTAAAACCCATTTGTTTTATCAATGTTGTCACATAGATCTGGAAAGGCTAATATTGGTAGGAACTTACTCTCATTTGTCTAACTCGAACCACACTTGAATTATCAGCGCCCATCTTCATCGTTTTTTAAAATCTTTTTAGCTTGCTGTATGTAGCTTTTTCTTCACTGCTGTTTGCTAGATGAGTTGCTGTTTGGGAATTAGACATCACTTTCTTTATTTTGGGTTGTGCTGGTGGAATTCAGATTGTTGCAGAGCTTGGAATTTTATTTTTAAAAAGCAAGCCATTAGCAATTTTTTTAAAAAAAGAGTATTACTTTAAGAATAACATGCTAGCAACATATTACAAATACGTTGCTTTAAAAAACCTCTTAGACTAGAAAAATTGCCAAAGCAACCAACAAAAATAAATAAATAGAAGAGACATGTGTCTAAACCACATTTTGGAAGTAGGAGGTAAATATTACTCATCATGGTAAAGATGTAACAGTGTTACAGGTCATCACATTACTTTGCCAAAATAGTATATCTCTGTTGCTTGAAAAAAATTAACATATCACAAAAAAGTGTTTACTTGCACTTTGTTACTTCCAAGCTCTGAACTGTTGATGAAACACCCGTCTGGAGATTGTGACTTGTCCTGGCCTTTCTTAAAGCTGGGGGTGGAGGGGGGAAGAAATAAATATCAGTCTTGCATGTGTCTCCTAGCACAATTTTGTTGTCCACTGCTGCAAGCAGAAACTGAAATTAAAGCTGAACGTGAGGTTGACCACATCTTTGTGGCTTAGAATATCTTTCCTCTTCTTTTCCTTAAATAAACGAGCCAGTGGCTTGGAAGCAATGTGCAAATGGGATAGAACTTGAAACAAATCTTTCCTCGTACAGCAGTCTTGAGCCCAGACTGACTGCATCTTTGGGCTATTGTTGGTTTTAAAAAAGAAGGAATTGGGGGGGGGGAGTCAATCTCATGTGTCAGATTCAGACTTGTAGGAAAATCACATTTGATTTGATCCTGAACTGTCAGGCATGAGATATTAAAAGGAAAAGATTTGCATTAGGTTCTTAAAGATGGATGTTTCAGACAGATTCAATTCAGAACTGTAGCATTTTATCAGGAGTGTGAGGTGTCCACTGAGAAAAGGCAGGTCCATCCTTCCAACCCACTCCGCCTTCCCTTGCTGTGGGCGATTCTGCTGTTATACAGACCGAAGCCAACCAGCTCAGCAGATTTGGGTTTACCGTGGAAAGTAGCAGAGTATCCATTGTTTTTAAAGACTTCTGCCTCAGGCACCAAAATGTCTTAGGTCTCTCTTGCATCCCATGTTCTCGATGAAGAAGCAGCTAGGTTGAGTTGTAGTCCATATGGATCATCAGCAGACCACACCTCCCTGTTGGCATCTGGGAGGGTAGGACTCAAGAAAACCACTTGTGTCTGGCCCTCTGAGATGAACCAGAGTTCTTATTTTGTATTTTAGAGCAAATCTCTGACCCTTCTAAAACACAGAATGCAATGCTATATTGCATCTTCTGCCTCTTAATTTCATGAAAAACGAGCCTGCTGCTGCACTTGACTTATACCCTGCCAATGCAGTTACTTTAGGAACTATGACTGTGATTGAGACAACATGAAAATTAGCCCAGTTAGTATAAATGCCCATTTTGTAGGGCAAGGAGGATTTTGAGCAATGTCTGACAGTTCCTGCAGTATAGTCCACCTGTATCCCATCTCCCGGTGTGCTGGTTAATGCAGTAAGGGACAGCAACATACAGCAGGACTCCTGTACCTGTGGGTTCGGTATCCACAGTTTCACTTATCCTCATTATGAAAACATTTAAAATATTAAAAGAAAACATCAGAATACAGTAAGCTATTTTCAGATGTATTAGCAAATCTGGCTACTAGAGAAACCAGAGACTGTGCTATGAATACAGTACTTGTTAGTGAAGAATGCATAGCATGGTCTCTGGCTCCCTCTAGTATCGTATATATAGTGTTTGCTATTGTCCACTGTTTTCAGTATCTGCGGGGGGGCTTGGAACCAGTCCCCAGTGGATAAGGGTCTACTGTAGTTGATTGTATCAACAGTGCAATCAATTAAGGGCTGATGGGAGTATAGGGAACCAGGATAGGAATTCAGAGTTTCAGCTGCAAATGGACAGACATTGCCTGAAAGCTAGGGTTTTTTTTTAAATAGCTGGGCAGCAGACCTATTTGCTGCAAACCAATGAAGATGAAAACCTAGCATAAAATTTGATTCAGCTTGAGAGATCTGTTGTTGCCATTTTGAATTTTTGATTAAGTTCCTCTAGCTGTGCATCAGAAGTGCAGAGATTCACAGAGCAGAATAGTTTCAAGTTCCCCAGATCAGTCCAACTTTTTTCTCACTAACTGGCACTTGCAGTCTCAATAACCCACTCTGAGACATTGGTAAGAGAAAGAATAAAAAGCATTCATTTACCTATAATTCAACAAATCAAACAACAAACTGACAAACATGTCTCTATTTAGCAGCAGACTTCCACAGACGACAGACTGCCAACAGAGAACATGTGGGGGGGGGACACACCTTTCAGCAAGGAGGTGGGGATCTCTTTGGATTCAGAGTCAAGAGGGAACTATTGCTTACTGCTAGATAGGTCCAGCCCAGAAAGGTCCCTTCCAGCCACAAACAGACTGCCAACAGAGAACATGTGGGTGGGGGGGACACACCTTTCAGCAGGGAGGTGGGGATCTCTTTGAATTCAGAGTCAAGAGGGAACTCTTGCTTACTGCTAGATAGGTCCAGCCCGGAAAGGTCCCTTCCAGCCACACTTTCTCCAAGCAGCATGTGAGATTGTAAAAACTCCAACACCTGCTGCTCAAGCATTGATGAAACACAGTCATCAGAGTTGCCAGAATGGTGGGACATGTTCTTGGACTCTAGGTAAGGGACACCTCTACAAGAAAAAAAAAGTTTTTATGAATGTCCAGATTCCTTCCTGAAGTGTTCTGCATGGGTAAGCTTACTATGCTAATCTTAGAGGGTGTGGATTTATTGCAGCAAGTGGAAAGAAAACCGTGCACTACTATTTTCTGCTACTTTTTATAGGATTTGAATTAAATCATCAGGGTCCACGGGTTCTATGTTTTGGGGCAATGTGACTTTGTTGGCTCCATCAGATTAAGGGGGGATAAAAGTTGCTGCTTTGCTTTTTGTTCTTATTCTAGTTTTTTTTTCTTGCTGGGTTTAGAAATACATGCAAGAAGCAAGGACTTTGGGGAAAAATCTGAGGCAGCCCAAACTCTCCGATCTTTCTCCAGCGGTCATTGCTCAGACAAACTCAAAATTTGTGGAAGGTTTACTGAAAGAATGTCGAATGAAGGTAAGTTCCTAACAAAACATGTTTTGTTGGTGGTGAAGGGAACCCCAGAAAACACCTATGCTGTGTGAAATTTAAAAATGTCCCATTAGTCTTTCCTAGGGTGGATTTGATTTAAATTAAGTTGATTTAAATTATGGCTCACATCACAGTTTAAATTTTAAAAATCAGATTTTTAAAAAAGATTTAAAATAAAAATTGATTTTTTAAAATTTAAACTGTGATTATAATTGATTTGATTTTTTAAAAAAAAATCATTGTTTTTTTTCCACTCTGGTCCTTCGCCTAATAAGACAATTCAAGACAGATGGACAGATTTGGCTTGTGGACATACCAACAATGAATAGTATAAAAATGGAAAACCTGTGGAACTGCAGATAGCATAGGACTTCCAGCTCCCGTGGGTTCTAGCCAGCATGGCCTGTTGACCATGGATGCTAGAAACCATTGTCCAGGAACATTTGGAGTGTCACACATTCCCCATTTCTGGCCACCACAATACACTGTGATGGTTTGCTTGCTATGACTGAGACAAGAAGCGGCTTTCCTGTTACAAGCCAGTGTTTTTCCCTTCCCTTCATTTCAGACCACATGGAATTTTGCCCTAAAGAATCTACAGTTCTGCCTAGTTTTCTGTTTCTGCACAGTGAATTTCAGTTTGTACACTGCTTTGGATACTGATTCATCCACCCTAAATAAAAAAAAAAGAGAGTCACACAGCCCAAAGTTAAAGCAAAGCATGATAGAGGCATTCTTAGCCAATTGCTAGTTTATCTCTATTTATTAAAATATTTTTATTGCCCTCCAAGATCAGTTTTCAGAACTGTGCACAAACTTTGCAAATAAATGTAAATAAAGCAATAAAGGAGATTAGCCACTGTAGAACAATAAAGCTAGCCGTTTTTTTAAAAACAAGGAAACCCCCACCCCAGCTCAAACTATTCAAAAAGGCTTAGCAGAATAGAATAAGTCTCTTCTTGGTACTGAAAAGATCACAGCATGGGTGTGAAACCTGTCTCCTTAGTAAGAGTGTTGCAAAGATAAAGGAGCACAGCTGAAAGTGTATTTCCCTTTGTTTACTTGGTTGTGGTTTTTTTAGTAAACAATTTACTATCTTTTTACACATCACTCACAACAGCAAAAGGAATCACAAAATACAATAAAATTACAAAACAGTACAATAAAACAGGCAAGTGTTCCAAACCAAATATTAGACAACACCACTGCCTGTCTAAACAAGGAAATCTTTCCTGTGTGCTGATATTTTATCAAAAAGACTCTCACCTTAACCTTGTAGGCCACAAAATGGGTTAGGGGGTTGTAGTCCAAACCTCATCCCAAGGAAACCATTTCCTAAGCTATGCAGAGTATCACCTACTTTGTATTTTCGAAGGCTACTTTACATCAGAAAACCTGAGATATCTGGGTAGGAGCAGTGGTGAATGACTTGGGTTCCTATGTATGTTTTCTATAATGAGTTGAGGGTACCATGCTTTGTGATGCAAATCTCTTTATTTGTTTCTAGACCAAACGTATGCTGGTAGAAAAGATGGGTCATGAAGCAGTGGAGCTTGGGCATGGAGAGGCCAACATCACAGGTCTGGAGGAGAATACACTCATTGCTAGCCTTTGTGACTTGCTGGAAAGAATTTGGAGCCATGGGCTACAGGTTAAACAGGTCAGCGACCTGAACATATATTTATTTATTTTATTTTAATTTGTTTATTAAACTTATTACCACCCATCTAGAACGTATCTACTCTGGGCATTGTCTTCCATGTTGGATTAAGTTGTCATCGTGGAATAATACTGGTCTCTTAGGAAGACTATTGATAGACTATCTCGTCATCTGCCCAAGTAGTCTGAGACCTTACAAATATTTTAGCCTACACACTCCTATTTCTTGGCCTTGCTATCTGTGGCTTATGGGACCTGTAGTTCAAAAGACCTGGAAGATACTATTCTGGGTGGCAGTGTATTGCTTGAGCCTCAAACGGTGACTGTGGCTCAAGTTGCTGCCTCAGCTCTTTTTGGCTGGAGATGTCAAGATTTTTTCTTGGGACCCAGTAGCTTAGCGCATGGTGTGGCACTAAGCTACATCATGCACTAACTTGTGGTAATTTGCCACTGCCAGTTACACCATTACACTTATGTGTACATAAATAACCAGTAGGAGTCTGGCCTATGTCAAGAAACAAAATGTCATGATACATCTTTTTAATTTGGCCTTTTAAACTGAAATGTTGTATTCTCTTGCTTCTGTTGTTTCTGCCTCATTCTATATCACCTGAATGATTTTGACAGGAAGGCAGTATAAATATATACTACACATACACACACACATGTGGCTGCACAGCAATAAGTATGAAATATCAACCATACAGAGTTTTGTTGTGACTAAGTGCTTGACAGCTATGCTTTTTCAATATATGTTTTTCTCTGGCAACCAATCTACAGAGGCCCTGAAGCAGAAGGTGCTTGTAGATGTCAAAGAAAAATTCCTCTGAATAATCAGTCTCCTTCTCCCCAGATGTAGTTCTTTTTCCTCCGTCTCTTGAGAGTTGAAGTGATTTCGTCTCCATCAAACTCACATCCCTCACATCTCTAAGCAATTAGGCTACTGATGATAGTCTAGTTGAGTGGTTCTCAACAACACACAATGTTGTTGGGTGCAATGCTGCTGAAGACGTTTCACCTTTGGTCAGACTCAAGTTTTGTCTTATTCAGATCAGCAGTGGATGCCCAACTGCTCACCTGCACATAACAATAAAATATGACACCTTCAAAAGCAGTTGCATTTTAATGTGTATGTGGTGCTGTTGTATATCTGCTGCAACCATAATTGAATAATTAATTTGCTATCTAGTATCTATGAAATTCAAATATGGCATTTATTCCATGCAGTCCTCAGCAGATATCTTTACCAGCATCTATTATCTAGGGTGTTTTTTTTTTCAAATGCTGGGAATTAAATTTGGGTCCTATTTTGTGTGTACTTGTTCATGTGCTTCTAGTCAATCAAAATATTGTCATGTAGTTGAAGGTCATGATGGATATCCTGATCCTGGAAGACAGACGTGCAGGTCTTTTTGCTTCTTGTAGGTCTAAATAAAAGGTGCAAACCAGCGTATGCCCTCATATTTCCTCTAAAATTACCTCTCCTTGGGATACACAGGGATAGAAACATAGGAAGCTGCTTTATACTGAGTCAGACCACCAGTCTGGCTAGCCCTATATTGCCAACTCCGACTGACAGCAGCTCTCCACAATTTCAGGAAGGATCCTTTCCTACCCCTAGCTGGAAATCCCTGCTATTTCCTGGTGAATCTTGATTAAATCGGCTAGATATGCCGTTCCTTGATGGTCTCTCATCAAAGCACTGACCAGGCTGTGTTTCAACTATCAGATGAAATCAGTACATTAAGGGTGATAAGATGGCAAAAACCAGTGGTGGTAATATATTGGCATATAATATGGGACCCTTGGTTCAAACCCCTTTGTAAGGGTGTAGTTTACTGGGTTCTGGAGAGGTCTATCTCCACACTAATCTGAGTGAGGCTAAAATGAGATGTTTTGCTTCTTAGAGAGACAGAGGAGTGGCAAATTAGAATGTCCACTGAGCCATAGACAGTGCCATGGGGAGAACAGCTGTCTTCTCGGTCTCCAGTGGCCAGTGCTTTTTCTTTCCCTCCATCTCCAGCTTTAAGTCATACATACTCAAGACCCATGATTATCGGGTTGGCCATTCACCACTGCTTATCTCCTTAATTTCTTGCATTCTGTTGTACTTTAAATTCCTGCTTATCCTTTTTTTAAAAGGGTAAATCTGCACTGTGGTCCCATTTAATTCAGTACCAAGAAAGAGAAGAGAAACAGGAGCAACTTGCAGAATCCCCAAGTGAGTACAAGGTTCTTGTGTCAAACAGGCATGTGCAGCAGAAGTGGCTACAGTTGGGTTGATATACAGTACTTGCTTTATCTCTTAGCAGTTATCAAGAATAATTCCTGCAATTTGCTGAGAGCTGTACTGAGGTCAGCTTTACAGTTCTAATTATCTCTGCTGAAAATTATATTGAGTGAAATGTACATCTAGATAATTCTATATAGAATTATCGCCTAAAATATTCCAAATATTTATTTTTTCTTGAGTATATTGTTTACAATACTCTTGTTTGAAAAATATTAATAAATGTTTTACCCACCCCCTAACCAAGTTCTAAGGGTTGTTTGGGTGCTAGCAGCAAAAATGAACGCCCATCAACTATCTTTAAAGTATATTTCTTTTTCAGTTTCCAATTTGACATCAAAAGCAGTAAGAGCGGATCAGAGCTTGACTCTGAAGCAACATTTTCAAGTCTTTTAAGCACATGCTAGGATGCATAGAGTGTCAGACTATGTCAGACTCAAGCTGCCTAGAGTGGTCTTATAGGCCAGATGGGCGGGGTATAAATCAAATAAGTAAGTAAGTAAGTAACCAACCAACCAACCAACCAACCTGGGTTCAAATCTCCCACTCAGCCATGGATGTGGTAGAAATAAACCACTCGTTGAACATCTATCTCTACCTGCCTTGGAAACTCTATTGGGAGAATTATAAGTTAGAAACAACTTATTGGCACATACTGTGCCATAAACACTAGAAATAATATAAAAACTAAAATAATTATTTATACATTTATATTATAAATTTATAATTATACATAATTATTTGTCAAAAGCAAGCTATAAATTAGCACCCAGGCACTCTTCACTCTGGGTGCTAATTATCCTAGGGCTGCGTTGTGACTAAATATTTCAGCGGTAATAACATTGTCAGATTGAATCCCTTCAACACAAACTAAAAACCATGTTTTCAATATCTTTAAAACAGTGAGGGAAAGCAGACATTGGGTTTTAATGCTTAGTATAACACACCATTTGCATGTTGGTGATTATTCTGAAATTTCAGCCATGTTATCCTTGCTGTTTCCTTTTGTGCATTTTTCTCATGTATAAAAATCTTCACAGTACAGAGTTTGGTAGATCTAACAGTTTTAAAGAAGGCGGTATTTGATGGTTCTTTGTAAATCTCCACGGAGTATAGCTTGAGATTAACTAAAAAGAAAAGCTGCCATATTGGGGAGGCAATAGTCAAGAAAGAAAAATTTTGCATGGCATCCTCTTTTCCCAGTGGGGGTTTCAAAGAAGCTAGGGATTATTTTTTCAGCTTTCAGTTGATAATGAGTTGCTAACACATTAATCCAAACCCCCTCCCTCTTCTCTGCTGTACAGTTGCTGGTGGACCAGAACGAAGGAAGTCTGACATTGGGCTTATGTTACCTAATCTGAGAGTCTCACTCATCAGTGATATGAGGTACACCATTGGGTTCACAAAACTTCATGTAAAGGTTAATATTTAGCACAAAGGTGAATGCTTTTCCTTGCTTTGGCGCCCGGGTTTGTCCAACATATTTTGCCTTTTTGTTTGCAAGCCAGATGACTATCGATGTAAATTCTTTGCCCAAAGGTTCAGAGTTGGGTAGACTGCAGTTTCGCTAATGCAGTAGTACAGTTAGGTTGTTAGACTGGGCCTCAGGAAAATGAGATTCAAATATCCGGATGGTTAATTTCTACATTTTTCACCTAGCTTATCTCACAGGGTTATACTAATGGAGTAGGCCAAGGCGGGGGAAAGACTTAGGCTGCCTTAAACTTATAGAGAAAGAGTGAGCTATAGTTTTGTAGATCTATGATTCAATTAAGGTGGATAAGTCCCTCCTCCAATACACTGTCAAAGTAATTCTCTAATTCCCTATCCAAACTTTGCGTGTATTTTTATAAATTCAGTTTGCATTCGCAGAAAGGGCACTTAAATAATTGTAAAACAGAGAATGTAGGAAGTTTGCCAATCCCCTCAACCACTATGCCCCAAACCAGCTTAGCAGGCTGGCTGTGGGATACTGGGAGTTACAGTCCAAAACAAGTAACATCCCCAGTCTTTGCTAGTTTGCTTCCCTAGTTCCTTGTATAGAATATATTTTTGCATGTAGAAGAAGAGGCTAGAAATCGATCTGCCCTTTTATTCTGGCTGGGGAAAAGCTGCCCTACTTCTCCCAGATGATTGTAACAGTACTTGATGGCTGGCCCTTCCTTCCTTCCTTCCTTCCTTCCTTCCTTCCTTCCTTCCTTCCTTCCTGTCAGCAGTTCTGGGAGAAACAATTTATACCCGAGTGTGTGTTGTGCTGTAAATGGGATTCCTCATCAAAGATGGGAGTGGGAGGCATATGCTTTGGTATATTCTCTTCTCCAAAGGCTTGAAATAGCTACAGTGAGAAAATGTTTCTCATCATGATGCTGTGTGACTAATGCACCGTGTGCATCGTATTTCTCAAGGACTTCTGATCACATGCTTAGTTGCGTTGCGCTGGAGGCCCCAAGAGCTGCCTGTCAAAAGAGTGAGCAGGGCAGCGGGGAGGGGGTGGAGAGGGTTGGTACAAGTGCCAGAAGGAATGCTCTTTTGTACTGACTTGGAAGGCTGCATTGGCTCTTTGCTCAGAGAAGGGAGGCTGTGGGAGTAGTTAACAAAGGACAAAGGGAGCTGCCAGGGGATTATCTCACTGCTTTGAAACGGCCTGCTAGAGCTTCAAAGGCTCTCTTTAAATCTTAATAGTCTAAGCAGTTGGGGAGCTACAATAAACTTGTGCCATCTAATGCAAAACTGGAAACTGCAAGACAGGCTGTGTGTGTATAGAGCGAACCCTGCAAAGCATAATTGCTAAAGATTCTTCAGTAAAAAATGTAGTATTTGAAATTGTTTGTACAGTGGTGTACCGTTCTAGTTGTGGCACATGATACTGGCTCCCTTCTCTTATTACTCTAGGGTAGAATTTTCCTGCAACAACATTCTCTGCTTCTGGGCCTGGGATAATGCTGGAACGGGGACAGGTCAGGGTATAAACTCCTTCACTTGGTCCAGGGCTTCTCATACGGGCTATAATTACTGCAGCACAGTTTACCACCACCACATAGCTTAGCTATGCTGACTATGCTCAGACCTTTCCCCCTCCCTGTCATTAAAAATAAAGACACAACAAATTAAATTGCTAGGAATTCGATAGTGTTCCATTACCTGGCAAAACTGCTGCCTAAGAAAGCAGGCTCATTCCATCCAATGGTAGGATTACCCCTTATAGCCCTTGAAGTACCATCTGCTACCATCTGCATTTGGCAGAGCACAAGTTGTCCAAGCTTGTGGTTTTAATACAATGTGTAGAACTAACAAGGGTGAAGTCTGTGCACCAAACTCTGAAGGATAAACAAAGACGTGCTTGAAGATTGTGTCTCCTGAGAGACCTTTGAAATAGCTTTTAACTTTCCATTCTTCCTTCTGTTTATTTTCAGACACATTCAGAACATGAGCGAGATAAAAACTGATGTGGGCCGTGCTCGTGCATGGATAAGGCTGTCTCTTGAAAAAAAACTCTTGTCTCAGCATCTCAAGCAGTTGCTTTCCAACCAAGCCCTGGCAAAGTAAGTTCTTAAACAATGCTGCTTTTTCAGGGTTCTCATTTCAGACAGCAGTTCAGTCCGCAGACTTTTTTGAGAAGTAAGTCTTTGAGCTGCAGAGGTGTTGTTTTTGAGTGAACATACTCAGGATTGTAATATAGAGATCATTAGATTTCAGTTGTATTCTAAGAGCTTCTGTGCAGCCTGAGGTAGCATTTACAGAACATTTCTGTAAATATTCTGCATTGCACCATATAATTAAAAGAAGAACCTAAGTGAGATCATTCTTTTATTACACCTTTTTCCAGTGACCTCAGAGCAGTTTGGTAATCTTAAAACAATCATGAGAAGTAGGTTAATTTGAGACCATGTGAGAACTGTTTGTGGTGATCCTGCAATGAAGTGCAATTATGAACCTAAGTTTCTTATATTCAAACCCAAATACACTAGTTCTGTGGTCCTAGATACAACCAATTTTAAGAAAGTGAAGACCTGTGGGTTTTTAACAGTGGTAGGATTGAGACTGACAAACAGCTGGCCATGAATTTTACAAATGTCAGTGGCCTTGAAAGCCCCATGTGACTTGGGACCTTAAGAATCTGCTTTTCCCATTTGTTCTTGTGTTTCTTGTAATTTAATGTATGGAAACCCTATTCAGAGAAGCCAGTTCTTGTCTCTGCTTAACCTACTTCACAAGGTTGATACATGGACAGAATTGGAGAGGAGGACCAGTTTGTCCACCAATTTGAGCTCATTGAAAGAAAGGTAGAATATAAATGTAACACACAAACAAAAACTGGAAGCAGATGAATGAACTAAAGTTCGACTTTAATTCAAGAATTAATGAAATGAAGATCTGTATAGCTAGTGGTGGTACATTTTGGCTAGCCTTGTTTTGACCTTACAAGGGCAGTGATGTAATTTCTCATTCATTCTGTGTTCACATCCAGTGCTTGGCTTACAACAGTGTAGCTTGCTAGCTATGGAGTCTAATAATACCCTGGTTCCTTGCAGGAAGCTGTACAAGCGTTATGCCTTCTTGCGCTGTGAAGAAGAGCGGGAACAGTTCCTCTACCACCTTCTTTCACTCAACGCTGTGAATTACTTCTGCTTCACAAGTGTCTTCACCACCATTAGTGAGTAGGGAACAATCTAATATGCTCTTCTACTGCTGATAAAAGGATAATTGTGGCCTTGTAACAAAGCCCGCATTCTTAATTGTTGAGATCAGCACTTCAGAGCATTGGACAGTAGAACTAGTGGATACATGTTGTGCTGGGGAGTGCCAGTCTAATTCTGTTTATTTCATTTTGTTGATACGCAATGTTTATCCCCTGCTTCCAAGCTCTTCTCATAGCAGCTTAAAATATGTGTAAAATAGCAGCAAAACAAAGATCATGATGTTCAGTCTCTCAGAGAGGGGGCTTCTTCACCTGTGTTGCTGCTTTCCCTTGTTCTCCTAAGAAGAGAAACCAGTTACAGTTTGGTAGGACTGCACAAAATAAATACAGCCCTACCTTATTTCATAAATCCTCCATGCTGCCAGCTGCAGCTGAGTCTCTAGAATAAGGTGAAAAAACCTGGCCCTTCAGATGATTTGGACTACAGCTTCCATAATGGGTTTGATGGGGCTTGTAGACCACAGCACCTGGGGAGCCCAAAATTCCTTGCCCCTGTTCTAGTCCATGACAGGATTAAGAGAAGATGACATACTTGCCTCTAAAGAATAAAATGGGGGAGGGGGACATGCAGATATTTTGAAAAGCAGACCAGTATCAGCATGAAGATGCCAGATCTATTGATGGACATATGGTTGGTGGGGGCAATTTTTTTTCATAGTCCTTTTGTTGGGAGAGGACAATGCCAGTATGGTTCCTGATTGTATTCCAAGCCACTCTTGTGAAAACAGGAGGGCAAGGTTGTGCTCCTGTTTCTGGTTTTTATTTTTAGTCTAATGTCGTTCCTGCCTTCTAAAAATAGCAATGCAATGAACCCCCAGTTTCCAGATTTGCACGCTTGCCCTTCAGTTTTGGCTGTGATGTAACAGCAGCACCCAGTGGCTGCTTATAATTACTACCTGATAACAGTTGACTGTAGGATGCAGAAGGCATCCAAGAAGGTCAAAAGAAACCAACAGGCCTGTAGCACTTTTGACAGTGGCTTTAAAAAAAAAATTTCCCATTTTCCCAAATGCTTGGTCTGCCTAATCAATACACACAGATTAAACATGTATTAAATTCCATAGCCTGGGAGCAGCTGCCTTTTCGGCTGGCCCCAGACTATGGAATGCCCTCCCGACTGAGATTCGTCTGGCGCCGACACTGATGACATTTAGGCACCAGGTCAAAACCTTCCTGTTCCAGAAGGCTTTTAATTGAAATAATATCAACTGTGGGTCCTGGTGGCAATTTTTAGAGTATCTATTTTAATTGTTTTATCTTTTTATTGCATTTTTATTCTATTTTAATTGTTGTAAGCCGCCCAGAGACCTTTGGGTAGAGTGGGCGGCATATAAGTTAAATAAATAAATAAATAAATAATTTAAGCCAATTTAAAACTGTAAGGGCCAAAGTGGACAAGGCATGACTTGTATGAGTTTAATTTGTATGCACATTTTTTGATCTGTAAGTAGCAACTGCTAAGAAGGTGAACAGCCTAGGAATCTGTAGGAAGTTAAACATCTCTTTTTCTGTTCTTCTTTCTTTTCTGTGTTTTGAGGGTACACATTCCATTGTATTTAGCTTTAGTGTGATAATTTTTCCCTACAGTACCCAGTGGATTTCCTTTCATAAAAAGTTGTTATTAATACCTATTGTTGCTTATTACAGTGATTCCATATAGGACGGTCATCATCCCAATTAAAAAGCTAAGCAATGCAATCACCACATCGAACCCATGGATTTGTGTTTCGGGAGAGCTAGGCGATACTGGAATAATGCAGATCCCGAAGAACCTCCTAGAAATGACATTTGAGGTACAGTTTAGTACAGCTCATTTCCACCCTTGCAATTTAGGAAACTTTAGTTGCTGTGTCACTGTCAGAGAGCGCATATTTTTAAAACCTTGTTTGTGGAATTCAAAGAATACCTCAATCCTGCTTAAAAACATAGGCAAACAGTTTTACAATTACAAGTGAAAGCATACAGAAAAGTTAACTGTGTGATTTGTGACCATAAACAGTATTCTGAGTTGGGTAATACCTTTATTGGATCACCAAATTTTTACAAACATAAGGTTTTTTTCAGTTTTTCCTAACTTTTTCAGGCATAGAATGTGTAAGTTTTAAGGATACCAGAAGAAACAAGAGGGAAAGAAGAGGAATCTTTTGCGTCCTTCCTCTGCCCTCCAGTTTTATATCATCTATACCTGAAGGAGAATTCTAGAAAACCTAATTTTTTTTTGCCCTCTAAATGTTGGTGCTGTGAGTCAAAGCCCTGCTAGCCCTGCCCTAGCTAAAGCTTTTCTTCTAAGCACAAGCCACTGACGTGCCTCCAGTACTCCCATGATCACAGACCACTGTGTGTGCAACAGAATACACCTAAAACAAAATGCACTTAGAACACTCCCTTGATCCCTTTACTGCTTAATATACAAAGGCCTGGTTGATATTGGGTTGGGAGCAGGCATCATTGGAGGCCAGATATACGTGTGTAGACATCCCGGTGTCCCCTACAGTTCCTGTCCCCCTACATTCACATTGTAATGCCTGAATAGATCTGAAAGCAAGCCATGTTTGCAATTTTTTAGTTGTCCAGTAAAAGTGTTACTTGACCAAGAAGCAAAAGACATGAAGCTGCTGCTACTGAAAAGAGTCGGCTTCTTCTCTAGTAGAACTAGGTAATTTTTTGTTGGTGGTGAAACAGAGAAGAGTTGTTATCTCATGGTGAGATTGTGTGGTTTAATGGTTAGGCTTGGGGAGACCCAGATCCAAATCTTCACAGGATGACCTTAGTCTACAGGGTGGTGGTAAAGATGTAGTATAAAGGGAATAAAAATGTAACAAATAAAGGAATTGCCATTTTCCCTTTTTTTAAATCTCAGCAAGCATGATGCCTATGAGGATACCTTTGTTTGTCTGCTTCATTTATAAAATGATTATTCTTTGCAAGTGGATGGAAATTGATTGCATTGTAAAAGGTTGCACTTGAAATGAAAAAATTCTATGCCATGAGAGTTGTGATTGTTCATTGACAGACATGTAGACCATAATTTGCTTCTGTAGTCATCATCTGATGAAGATGCATGTGTGAAGAAGACGTGCATCAATTGCCTCCCTCCAGTTGTTTGCCCTGGTTGATCATCTGTGATACCTATAGAAGGACTTCAGAGAGCACAGAATGAAGTGGTGCTATGGGAGCAAAGACTGCTACTTCTGCTTCTTTAAAATGGGGAGTGCAAAAAGTTTGTGGGTAATCTTGGCTGTGTATATACTGAAAGAGATTAATACTAGGTTTTAAAATTGTCCTTCTTTCTTTACAGAGCCAGAACTTGGGGAAGCTAACCACTGTTCAGATAGGTCACGACAACTCAGGACTGTTAGCTAAATGGCTGGTGGATTGTGTCATGGTCAGGAATGAAATCACAGGGCACACGTATAAGTAAGCATGGAAGAGTCAGTTGAAATAATGTATAAAAGACTAGCAAAGCTAAACACTGTCTTTGAAGAGGGGAATGTTAGCTATGTAATTGTGGTCATTTTAATTTATTGCTTAGATCAATCTTGTATGTTATTAATCTATTTAAAGAAATTAATACCCTTTGCAAATGCATAGTCAAAAGTTGTTTTTCAAAAATAGTTTGTAGTCTTGGATTTTGAAAACCATAATTTACATCTCTTTAAAACACACTTAGCTCTTTAGAATGAACAGGTTCATAATTGGAGCTAGTCCAATATATACCGTATTTTTTGCTCCATAAGACACACCTGACCTTAAGACGCACCTAATTTTTAGAGGAGGAACACAGGGAAAATATATTCTGAACCAAATAGTCTAATAAAATATTTAATAAATTATAACAGAATAACATTTGAACCATGTAAAGTGAACAGCAGTCAACAGTGATGTTAATATAGACCATTATCAGCCAATGATAAGACCTATACCACTCTACCTAAATTTTACATTTCCGTGTCATCCACCTCCTCCCCATGCTTATAGAAATGTCTCAGTGACAAATGAGATTGTTGTGCAACTCTGCCCAGCTACAGCTCAAGCCTATATTAAGTTAGAAATGGTTTGTCTGATTTGGCACTGCATTGAGCGGTCCCTTTTAGTTGTGTGGAGGATAAATAGTGGAATTAAACTATTTAACAGCTGGTTTTCCTTATTTACTTTAGGTTATGCAAAAGAACAGCAACACAAAGCTTAACCTGATCCCATTCACCAGCAGTAGCACATGCTCAGCATAAGACCAAATCTCCATTTTCTGACATAATTGAACGTTTATAGCATGCAAGGCACAACA